ACAATGGCTCTATTTATAGAGAAAAAGACGAGTAATTAACTGACTAATTAACTGACTAATTTGCTGATTAATATGCTAATCACTAACTAATTAACAAATTAACATGTGCTGGAATATTCTGGAATTAACTGGAATGTATTTCTAACACGCCCCCTCAGGATGGACTATGGAGATCAACAATAGTTCATCTTGAAGATTAAAGAATTTTGGCTCTACTTCACTTTGAGATGATGCCTCCAGTTCTCAATTCCAGCCATATGTCACCAAATCTGATGGAGAAACAAGAAATAGTGGAGGCTCTGACCATCCATAAAGATTTCTGAAAGTTCAGAGAACCAAAATATGAAAGAGGAGAAATTTTATTGCAAAGAATCAAGGACAAATTTTGATGTTGCTACCGCCATTTTCTGAAGACAGGAACTCAACCTTTGCCTGGAATAACACTTTCCAGAATTATGCTAAAATAGAAGAAATTAGAGATTTGCTTTCATTTAAGAAAAATACAAAAAAGAAGGATGAATTAAATCTCATAAACGAAAAAACAGCAGGAAAAAATTCCTGCTCTGATACCATGTTAGAATTTATTAATTGAGAAAACACTCCATAATAGGAGGAAGACAAACCTCCATAGGAGGGATTAGAGAATATAATCCAATGATTTATTAATGAATACAATGGCTCTATTTATAGAGAAAAAGACGAGTAATTAACTGAGTAATTAACTGACTAATTTGCTGATTAATATGATAATCACTAACTAATTAACAAATAAACATGTGCTGGAATATTCTGGAATTAACTGGAATGTATTTCTAACAAGATGAAAGAACATATAAAACAAGATATAAATAATTTTACAAATATTATTTAGTTCACTGATGATGCGGAGAAGATGTAACAATAAACGTTGAATATGTTTGAACAAGAAGAGAACTCATCCTGAGGTCTTTTGAATTTCCACTTCTCACAATTAGAATTAAATCAAGCAGTTCAATATTGTCCCTTGCTAATACTCAAATCAATCACTTCATAGAATTAGAAGTAGAGGCTCCTACTAATGCTTTTAATCGAGTTTCTTGAACAAGCAACTCAGGGACAACAAAAGAAAAGACAAATGCACAATGTCGAGTAACAAATTTAATTCATTGCTTAAACAAACCAACAAAATGTGCCAAAGACATTAAGACAATGAGAAACCAATCCTCCAAAACAAATAATATTCAGGCCTTGAATCTAACATTGCAAATAATAGTTAGAACCCAATTTGGAATCTCCCAAAACAAAACCAATAAATTATGGCAAGGAGCAAAGACATCACCAGTGTTGAAGATTATTCCTTTCGAGATTAAAGGGGAAAAAAACATGAACTCTACAAACCTTTAATGTAAGATAAATAGGGTAGAGACGTTATTGGCTTTGACACGATACTAATAATCATATAACAAACGAAAACACAAGGTGAAGGTGGGTGGAGGCTTTGTAGTACAAATCTGTACAAAAATGGAAGACTAATGACTTAAATGGCATGTATTTACAAATGTGTGCTAAAAGAATTAACATATCTTAAATACATTGACTGGATTGTTCTTTACGTATGAGTAAAAACTTAACATTTGATATTCACACTATACGTTGCATCTTGTAGCACGGAATTGATGAAGCTTATAGCTGCTTTCAACCAACTTCTTCAAGTTTTCTGAATCTGATTTTTTGTATGTCCAGCCTTGGAACGAGATGAGAGGTCGATTTTCACGAAGTATCTGCATAATGCATGAATTCCTGACCAGATACTGACATTAAAATTTGAGACTCCTTGAAGAAAACCTCTGTTCTTATAAAGATATATGATTAATGAAACAAGGAGGCAAGCTATTGTGACACATCCTGTGATGGCAAAAAGCACCTGAAAGCTTTGCAATGTCATGCTGTTTGAGGTGATAGCGCTTTCTGGTCCTGCACATGCTGGATTACTAGAATTCATTTGACCAATTTCTACAATCGTACCATTTTCGGTCAATTGAATTATGGCGCGAGAGACATCAGCAACTAAAGGCAAGCCTTTAGGAAAAGCCTGTCAATTATAAACAAATATGAGATTATCAGTAGCATGAACAACTCAATTCATGAATAGACGCAGTAATATGGTTTACGGCTTGCTCTCGATTCAGAATTTTAAATTTTAATGAGTTCATTGATTGGACCAATTAGATCTAATTCATTCAAGCCTCAATCTCATTTAGCATATATCTTGGAGAAGAAACTGCTCACAAAAGTAGAAGGGCACAATATTGTTTTCAGACAAAATATAACCCTTTCCCCTGATATAGGTTTATGAAGTGCTTTTATTTCCACATTTAATGGATACCATTTTTTAATTGCCTGTACTGATAAGATCTAAGAAGCAAAAACTCAAGAATTGACAGCAAATTTGTGTAGTATAATGAAAGAAAAATACTTACAAAAGCAAATCCTCCCGTACGATAGGTAGGACCAACTATCATGTACTTGCCACAAAATTCAGATAAGAAGAGATTTATGTGAGGCAAAACATCAAAATATGCTGATATACCTCCATTACTACTTCCATTTGTCAAAGCTTCATCGCAATCATGAGTAGATTTATATGTCCTAATTTTTGATTCTTCAAATCCTAAGCCTTTTAAGAAATCAACTAGAAAGGATCCTTCTTGACAACCAATGTAGTCTCCACTCCTAATAAGTTTCATCACATCGGTGAAACCTGGTTGAAGTCTCTGTACTGTTAGTCTTGATGACAAGCTAGCAGTGTAAGTTGAGATTAACAAATTTGCAACAAATGCCCATGTGACCAAAACTAGACAAATTAAATTTCCTTCAATTCCTTGTCCTACAAATCAACGCAAGGTTCATCAGAAATTTTAAATGATTAATCTGTTCAAAGAACAGAAAGACTCTATAGCTACATTTCACTCTGTAAATACAAATGTCAAGAAGAGAAAATAGATCACCAGGAAAGAATGGAAAACAACAAATCATGCCAGCATGTTGACCCGCAGAATCCCGACAACCGGTTTCAATCCTTCTTCCAAGGATCCAAATTGACAGACCGGTAAAAATGTAAAATGTAGCAGACATTAGCCAAAGTTCTTTGGTTAAGGGCTGCAAAAACGTCCATTTATCATTTCTATCATCATATTTAATTGGCACAACACTAGCTACTCCTCCTTCTGCATATGGAAAAGTGAAGTCGACATAGATTGATCGGTTAGCAGTAATTGTTATATCTCCCAAAGCAGCATCATATTTCTCCTATTGTCACCAAGAAAGAGAAAAAGAATTATAAAGCAATCAATTACCTTAAAAAAGTAATATAATTTTTGCATAGAAAAGGAGAACTATGTATTAGTAAGAACAAAATATAAATGTATGATTAACCTGCAAAGAAACTTGATATACAAAATTATCGTAACTCCCAGCACTTGAACCGCCAGAATTTTCAAATGGATAAAGAACGTACTCATATGGCACAGAATATGGTAATGCTTCCATTACAGAATCAAACACCTCTTTAAAATATCCACTAACATTGATAGCATTACTTTGAGGAACCCTCACCACTTTCAGGAATTCGTTAAAACCAGATTTTTCTGACACTCCCACTCTTAGCTTTTTGCCATTAACTGGAAATTCCCACCCCTTTGGTGCTATTACAGAGTTCCCTGGCCAAATGATACTCCTAAAATTTTCCTTTGAGGTTGAGTAAGAAGTGGTGACGTTCAGAATCACTTCCTTGGAAATTCCATAGGAAGATGACCAAATTCCTACCTGTCTCTCTCTTTTTCCAACAATATTTACTATTTGATAAGGTGTCTGCACTAGTTCTCCATCAGCAAGATGGAACACCCCAGCTCGTCCTTGGAACCTTGTTCGTAATATTTCTTTAAGAAGTTTGGGACCTGCTTTAGAAATTCCTAAAGAAAATGGAAATTCGGAATTGGAATCAACACCGTTCTTTATTGCCTTCAGATGCTTATTTCCAATTCTTTCTGCTGCCATAGCAAGTGCCCACAGGGTATCATATGCCCAAAGGCCAAAAATACTTACTTCTGTTGGTTTGATACTGCCATCAACCTGAAGAGACATCGCATTCCATATACTAGGGAAGGTGTCAAGTTCTTTACGTTTTGGGATTAGAGGCTTTACACCCAAAACACCTTGCATGGCTTCAACAACATCTACATCCATCAAACTGAATAGATCTGTCAGGCCACTGGTAACGATCCAAGCATAGCCATTACTCATCATTCCCAACTCTTTTGATTTTAGAAAGAGCCTGGCACCAAGATGTTGTGACATGTGCACCACAAAAACTCTTGTCCGCATGGTCATCATCTTGTATAGTTCTTTGCATATAAAATCATCAGTTGCAGATTTTGGAAATGCACTTCTATTTGAAACTCGAGCATTGACATCTTGCAATGCATTAGACAGATAAGAGATAATGCCATTACCATATTCTGTGTCTTCATAAATTATGACCACCTGGTTCCAGCTGAAGGCCTCAACTATGGAAGCAATGGCCTTAACCTGATCAGCATCACTTTGAGCTGTCTGAACAAAATAACGAGTTCGAGGAATAAGAGAAGGACTTGTGGCAGAGAAAGAAAGGATTGGTACACTAGCTCTATCTCCGAGATCCATCACAAAGCTGGCCTGTGTAGACTTTTGAGGACCGATGATAGCATCAACTTTAACATTTTGCAGCAAATCAAGAGCTGCATGGATGGAACAAGTTAGTTATATAATTCAAAATATCTTTAACAATATTTTCCACATGCCAATGCTTGTAAGACCTGTTGTCTTTAATTGTCAATTTAAATGCAAATTTTTTCTTAGCAAATTTTAGACTTTGAATTACACTGCTGGGGAGTCATTGATTTTTTTCTTATATCAACAAAAACATCTGCGCTCTGATTATTTTTGTTCAGGATTCAATGCTTTGGATTTTAGAGACAATCATTAGTGGCATGGATGCGTCAGACATGATTTATGGGATTAAGGAAAAGTAGAAACATACCAGCAGCAGCAGCATCAATAACTGTTTCCTTTGAATCCCGCAGATGGAGAACCAGCTTAGTGGTATGGTTCCTGTGAAATGAATAAAAATCAGAACGAGCCTTGTACAGGCAGTCCTTTCCTATACGCCCTACTGGTGAATCCAAATCAAGAACTACACCAACTTGAAAATTAATTATGCTGTCAGTGGAATTTTGTTCAGTACCCAAACTAGGAAGCAGGAGAAGGGAAATCAAAAATTGAAGTAACAAGAAGTCCATTCTCTTCAGAACTTAATGTACAATACTTGAAAACTACCATATATACAAGATTAAAAGCAATCTAATAGAACTCATTCATTTTCAGAGATGAACCAAGATATTCGATGCAATGCTTTAAGCTCATGAATTTCGAAAACAGATTCGTCGTACTACTTGGTTTTGAAAGAAGTTTGGGAGGTCATTTATATCAGGTTTTAAAAGGTACAATTCAAACCCCATGAAACAGTGAAGGTTCTCTACATTCCCCGTTAGAATACGCGTCTTTGGCCAAGGAATTGAACATTTACATTGATATTTCTCCGAATCTTAAGGGCATAATATTAAAAAATAGATTGATTCAACAACATATTGGATTATAAATCATATATTTTGCAGGCCATATTTGGCTTCATTTGATTTAGCTGAACGCTACTACGTCAACAATTACAGGAATATATTAGTTGGTCAAGTCTACCAAATATCAATCAAGTCAAAACAAAAGGTAAACGATAAAGGTATAGAGAAGTTTCCAAGTACAAATAAAAATTTTGAGCAAACCCACGTACAAGATTGATGGTCATACAATAATAGATTGATAGTAACTTCATATTGGCCTTCAACTAATGGAGACATAATTCAAACACTTGATGTTCATCCAAAATCAAGTCTTGTTTCGAAGGTAAACTTGCTCAATTTTCAGTCAGCATCTTTAGGGTATAAGAGTCACTCTGTATTCATTTAAATATTTGTCTTCGACGCTGCACTATTCACATTGTATGGAGGCAAAAACTAAAAGAAAAATGAAAGAACCATCAAACGAAAAGGTAAAGAAACTTCCAATTAACAGCTAAAACAAGAAATTCGATGGGGTTGATAATGAAAGGGTAAAAAACTAATTTTGTGCTGCCTGCTATCATCACATCGCAAAAGACAAAATTATGAACAAACCCACAAATTGAGTATCGTTGAATTCATTGTTTCCAAATACGACAGAAACGTCTAGAAATGTTATTTAAAAGCAAACCTAGTTTGAACGGAAGCCATGTTTCAAAATTCATGACAGCAAATGAAATTTCTTGGGAAGTTTACGTGGACTATATTCATGCCCGCGCATTGCAAGCAGTAAATGAATTTTAAATACAGTCATTATATATGAAGTGAAAGGTTCAACCAAACCAAACATTTTTCATGTACTTTGATTCATGTTTTGATATTGCTTGTTTTGTTAGGATTAAAATCTAAGTCAAAATCAAACAATTAATATTAATCATAAAAATTTTGATGGGTCTCACAACTTTTCAATCACACATTTCGAAACTTCTATCACAATTTACTAAAAAAATATAATTTTAATCTCCACCAAACATACTCTAACTGTAGTCTAAATAGAAATAAATCTAATTTTTTTTATTAAATCACATTTTAATTATATCGAAGATTTTTTATTTTTGCTCATTTTTGCATTTATATTCCCAAATCCCAATTTTATTCGTTGCACTTTTATCCTTAACCTTTAATTGATAAACACGTTTCATCCCTGATGACAGTTTTCATCCAAATATTTTACGTGTCCTTTGAAACGAGGAACATATATTTTTTTTTCAAATTATGAGAGAACAATAAATCCTTTACCTTACCAAGAAAAAAGTGCTAATTAATGAATGGTTGAGTGTAATAACGAAATGAAAAAAGTTGAGAACATAATTGTGAAATTGAATAGAAGGTTGGGGACTTTTATTGCAATTGAAATGCGGTGTAGTGTATAAATACTATAGTTTATATACGAGAATGGGACATGTATCGCAATTCGAAATTACAAGGTTAATCTCCAAATAGATTAATAAATCATTAAATATTAATCTAACTATGGGCATGAATGTTGTGGATTGTCTCCCAAATTGTCAAAGATAAGATAGCTGATCAAATATAGTAATTATTCGGTAAATATATATTCTCCGATCGAACATGGTTGAAGTATTGGCATGCAAAAATTATTTGTTGCAAAATAAGAATGAATCTATAGTGAATCACTAAATTTTGGTTTGTCATCAATGAATGAATTTACGTTAATTGTTTAAATTTAAGTTTTAGTCAAACCGTCGTCCTAATTAGATTGTTTTACACCCTTAAATGTATGAAAATCACAGGTTTGGATTAATCACATGTATAATTGCCTAACTCTGTAGCATCATCCATGACTATCTTTCTAGCCAATGGACCTACGACAAGGTTAGAACCTATAGCCAATACACACGAATTAGCATATGAACCCTTTAAAGTGCTTTCCTCAATAACTCATTCGGCCAAGAGGTATTACCACATCCTTAACTTATCCTTCGAAAAATAATCTACTTTAATAACACATTTTCTCAACCCACAAATGATGCTTTGTTTCATTTTTAGTGAAGCTAACATCTTATCGAGTCCGAAGTTTTAGCCCCTATAGATATATGATTCTTAAGATAATATCGTTGCAGTATACTCACAATGTTACTACCCCACGATATCACCTTAGGCCTTCAAATTTTCTAACCAGACAACTCCATTTATCGTCTGCATTGGCGAGAAGCTTCATAAATCCTTGGGAAAGCTCCATAAAGTGTCTTTCCAAAACTCAATTGTTAAGGTCCCTTGCTCAACACATGAACTTGCTTCCATTAAGAAAAATTATTAAACTCGTGTCAAGTCAAGCTCTTCCCTTGTCCTCAATAGTTGTAATGAACATTAACATCATATTAAGTTGTGGTATATGACACTCCCCTCTACTCAATCAATCAATGTCTTCGTTGAGTCAAAGTCCCAGACTTCAAGTTTCCACCAATTAAGTTAAGAATAATGCTGGTGATACAATATAGTGTCCAAAATGGACACCCGGCACCTCGATATTGGTCGAGGTGCCGGTGGGCCCCGGCGTGGCAGGCACCTCGGCCAATACCGAGGTGCTGGGTGTCCACTTTGGACACCAAAATGGATACCGTGTTGTACCCATAGCAAAGCCGTTAAGTTAAAGTTAAACCCATTAGTTATCTTGATCCCTGATATTAGTGGTCAAAGGTTAGGCAGGGTTGTACGTCTTTTGTTTCATGAACATGCTCTATCACTATTTTGAACTTGTATTCTTTGATTTTTATATTTTTAAAATATTTTTTTGCTGTTTATATTGAGATCTTTTAGAGGCTAGCTCTCACAAAGTGGTAGCTTCTTTCCCTTTTGCCATGGCTAATGCAATACATTTTATTGGGACGAGTAGTTGGGATTAAATTTTCAATGTACACTCAATACCCAGTTTATACGTTAACTCATATACACAAATAATTCAGGCACGAAATCAACTCATATACACAAATAATTTGTTTGGGTGATGGGAATTATAACTCAAATTGTAATCTAGTCTACCCACACAAGAACCCATCCTTTTACACAAAAATCAAAATAACAATTAAAAGTGATTATGCGCTCAATAAGAGGTTCTTACACGGATAAGCAAGATATAAAGATAAGCAAAAGTCGAACCATCCGATCACATATCATAAATAAACTCAAATTTCAAATAAAAACTCATCATTAATCGTCAAGGCTAATCAAGTAATACAAAAACACGTGTATTTTTTATTTTTCAGTTCTTTTTTTATGCAAATTTCTATAATTTAAGGTAATAAACAAGCACATAATTGACTAACAGAGTCGACTCGATCCCAAATTTGAAGTTATATGGTTCTTAATATAAGCAAAATATCAGGTCGAAAAAAGGAGATCAATACTTGCACCAAGATCACACAACACCCCCCATCAATTTCCAGACTAGCAACCGTAAATAGAATGGTGAAACTTTCTAAATATGTCATTATATTTGATAGATGCTTCTCCATTAAGGCATTGACATCCCTATAAGTAACACACTTAAAAATTTCATCTTATTCACAAGCAATTACCTCATCAACTTGGTGTAATTTGGCATCTGAGTGAGAGCCTTCATAGAAGGTAAATTGATATGCAGCTTCCTTAGATGATCCAAGAACTGTACAGTTTGTGAAAGATTCCTGTGAAAAGTTTCATTAACACCTAATTTGATCAAAAAGAGGTCTGGTCTTCCTCAGTATCCATCTAATCTATAAGGATAGTAAGAGCCCCAGTCGTGTTTTATTTAGATAGCAATACTCTCTTTATCTTTAGGCCCACTCCCCCGGGGGGGGGGGGGATCGCTCTATCCGTTCCGTCTCCTTATTTACAAATAAAGCCTGCCAACTATTTATCGTGAATGATGGAATCATTACATATAGTATGCCCTCGGCACTATTCATCTTGCTTATTTTTATTTGGCCTCAACCCTTGTACAAACAGGATGTCAAGCATGTATACTTTGACATGTGGAGAAATTTTAGTAGATGAAGTGGTCGCCTTGTCTTATTTACTCTGTTATTTGTTGCAAAATAATTTTCAATAATTGAACTCCACTCCTAATTGTAATTTCATTTGCATGCTCATTCGGGTTGATTCGGTATTTCTTGAAAATGTACCACGTTGTCTCACCATGAGGAGCTTAGCTGCCTTGCTTCTCTGGTTCTCCAGATCCTTCATAGGTTCCTTGACACTTTGCATCTCCATCTTGACACTTTATACTTCAATTTTGACATTCCATACCTCATCCTTGGTAATTAACATCTGTTGTACATGTGACTCATATAGAGTGGAACACAGGCCCTGGATCAAATGGGCCGATGCCGGCGCAGAGCGGAGTGGAGTGAGAGGAGCGGAGCGATGGTATCGGCCTTGCGTGAGTTTAATTCACTGTTTGGTTGTTAGGGACGCTAAATGGGTTGGGGGTGTGGGGGCAACGCCCCCGCGGTACGGTACAGGGATATTTTCTGTACGGGCCTTAAAGTTTTATATGGGCCCAGATTAGGGTTAGTATAAATAATATGTTGTAATCCTATTTTTTACAACTGAATAAAGAAATCTCCGCTTCGCTCTCGTGGACGTAGGCACATCGTCGAACCACGTAAAATTCTTGTGTTGATTTCCGTTTTTCATCTCTTTAATATTGCGCATAAAATCCAACAACATCTCAGTGTAATTTCGTTCTTGATATTTCAGCCAGTAATGCGCCAATTGAGCTATAGCATTTTCCAAACCACATTTCTTCTTCTCAAGTCTTCCATGATTTGTGAATTTGTACATTCATTTGGCATTGAGAGTTCTGAACAAAGGCAGTTTGTGAATCAGTGAAGGTTCAGTGGTGTGGACAATAAAAACTCGAATGAATGATGATTTTCTCCCCAATACTCAAATACTGGAAGGGTGCTTGAACTATATTTACTAGTTGATCATGTTTTAGTGCTTCCATATTCTTCAATGATGAATTAAGTTTTGGAAATACCAGCATATTGATGACCTCATGAAACCCAGATGTTTTCTTTGTAAGCCCGTGCTTGGTCACATTGCACATTGATCACTCGTTATTTCAAACAATCGACCTTTTTGATTCGATTCATCGACTCTAGTGTCACATATAAATCAACTAACAGGAGTCAATCCAGATAAAAGTAGTTAATGTTGGAATTTGGTCGAGTAAAATGAATGAAAGTTGATTTTGTATCAATTTTGGTCAAATATTTGGATAGAATCCAATAGTCAAATCACTCAAGTGAATAAAATAACTTGTTTTACTCATCAAGTAGATGATCATAGTATATTTGAAATTTCAAAACTAATTCCGGATAAATGAGAACTTGAGATCCAAAGTTACAGAAAAAGGAAAATGCAGCATATAAGACCGTCGCTTGAGCGGCAGACTCACTGTTGTGACCACACGAGCGGCATTTCGTGTGAGGAACAAGCAGCTTGAAGGGATGCGTCCTTTTATAAAACATGTTGAGTTGGGGGTGTGTTTCTCCGGCCACAACCCAACCCATCATCTTCTATAAATAGGACCCCTTCGGGAGCCAGAATTTGTTACATTTCACTTCCATATCTTACTTTGCATCGAAACACTTCAAAATTATTGATTTTCTTG